GATGTTGCGCTATGAAAATACCTGTTTCTCCTCAAATACGAAGAATTGCTTGGCGAAATGTATGATATTCTGGATCTAGAGATTCGGCTGGATTGAATGGTGCAAAGAAATCGAAATGTTACCCGGACAACCTGAGAGTACGGTTACCTTGAAGTTGACAACTGTTTTAGTGCTCTGGTAGCGCATTTGTTGATTTTTAGTGGTCAATTTAAATGAATGAGCGCCTTGCGCTTGTTGAGATTTTGTCATGAATATACCTATATCTCCTCAAATAAGCAGAATTGTTCAGCAATGTTTATATCTCCCTTAATCTAAAGGTCCCGCGGAGTCGAACGGTTTTGATTGATGTAGTGTCATAGCACGTTTTTCTATATTAATGTATTCAGAATGAGTAATTGTTGCGCAAACTACAGTTTGAGTAACGTCATAAAGTGTACTTCATGCTCATGCAATAGGGTTTGTCAGTAAAGTGTCATGTATTTAGTATGAACTGTAACAAAACTTGGGCACCTCAAGTTGAATTAGAGACACATCGGTCCGGAATGAAATCATGTAGTCTTGATTCGTGCTCAACTATTCGAAATGAACTGTAATATTGCGATGAGAAAACAAGAAAGATGAATGAAGCTTATGAAGCATTCATGGATTTTCGAAGCCGCGCACAAAAGTTAAGTTTGGCTGCTTATCCAAAACCATGTTCGGTTCTTCATTAATAGATGCTCTGAATTTCCATTCACTCATACCACTCCATTTTAGAAAATGAGTAGTGTATTTAACCGAAAGTTCTTCAATATGTATTCTTGTTTCTAAGCAAGGTGATCAAATTTTTCCAATCATTACTCTTCGTTCCACACTTTGCTCTGCTTCCTTTCACATTCGGTTGCTTACAGTGGTTCACAAGCCTAATTATTTCATTGGTCCTAATCTGGTAAACTTCTATGTCCGTTCACTTTTGATGTTCATTCACGTCTACGTTCAAGATCAGTACTGTTGCACCACAGCTTTTTTCTGATTATATGGTGTTGTTTTGCTGACAACGATCAGGAAATGTTTCTAGTCCGGTTCGCTGTGATTATATAACCGAAGAATTGTGATTGTTTCATAGCCATTTGCAGATAAATCTTCAAATTTTGATTCAAAAGAACTGACAGAGAATGAAGCGATTGAATGAACTGCTCAATAAGTTACGCAATTCGATTGTACACAATTAGTGGGTAAGGTTATTATTCAGTGAAGCGTTATCGAACGATCGATGACTGAAACGAGGTGCTAAAAGCAGCAATGGAACGGATGTTACGAACGTCAGTACAAATACACACAAAAAGAAGAAACGATCGAATATTGTCGATATCTGACTCCATCTCTGGATCTGATCGTCGATGAACTGCCCGTTTTCCAATCGCTTCATCTGAATCTTCTATCACAGTTCTTTTATCTATTAAAGCATTCTCAACATTTCATTTGTCAGTGGTGATTCAAATCATTTGGTAAAGTAAAAATGTGGCGAGTACCGCATAATAATGCAAATGTTCATCCCTAAATCATCACAACATAAACTTCTGCAATATAGGGTAGCATGAATCTTAAATCTAATTGTATGAAATGAAGCTTGCATATTACCAACCAGTGCCATAGTGAGTCGATCTCTTGTATCGATCAACGACGGTTTTCGTTCTGTGCTCGGCTCCTTGATACCGAATAAACGACCAAGAAGTCGGTATGCGATGAAATTCAGCCAACGTGGTACTCTAAAAATGGACGGAAGTTGATATCAGTGCTGAATTGATTCAGTTCATATTTTGCTGCGGCTAATGATTGGAATTCATGAAAAGGATACTAGCAATGGCATGATCGTATTCAGAAAGGTAATCAATCAATGTACAGTTCTCAATCGATAAATTCAGACTTTCGGTTACAGTTCAATGCACTTTATCGTAACAATCCCTAGACTATTATCATTCAGTAGAATTATCCATTGTCAACGTTAGTTTTAAATGAATATGATAACAAAAATGTAATTCAAATGATCATGTATCAGAATTACATTTCATTGCACGCTTGGCATTAAGTTGATCACAAAGTCTGTACACATTTTCACTCCCTGAACGAATCTTGTCATAAATGAGTGAATCTATCAGTGAACGATCAGATGGTCATGATATGATATCAAAATAACGGGCAATTGAAACGAAATCGAATCAGTTTCTTAACTGAGTTGTTAGACTCACCTGCAATTCCTCTCAGCCCCATGCCTCATATTGAGAACGGCAACCGAAAGGCACACACTCAGCGCTGATATACCCATAATGCACATTATATAAATCGCTAGAATGTACCATTATTATTAATATGAAATCGAATTTCTCCATCATTATTCAACATAATCATTCATTTTCTATTTTTCATTTATTCACGCATACTTATCATTATTTCAATTGATGTCAAAATCATATACACTATTATCCATATCAGTGGTTCTCACGTTCGGGTGCTCCATTACCCCTTTGACGATTTGGTAGGCCGCCGTTCCCCCCTCCCCCCCCCTCCCCCAATGAATATGGAAATCGCATATGTTACGTTCGATCTTATTAGCATGTTCATGATGGTGATCGAAATCGCTTGGCTTTTTCTCAGACCGTTGTGTTGTTCAGTACTGCAATCGATTATGTGATTGCATGAAAAGCTGTTGTCTGTGACACGTTCACTCTAAGCTGATTCAGATGAATTCTCATTCTTTTCAGACGTGTTGTATTCACTCTCATAGCTATTACATGCGAATACCGTTCTCTTGATGAGTTTTTCTCATTCACTTCACCGCATTTAACTTCACCGTTCAAATAAACTTCTCATTCTGTAGCCTTTACTATTTGCTGGATNAACTTTGACTGTTCAATGAAATGAATGAGAAATTAGCAGAAGAGAAGAATTTTGGTGATAAAAGCTATGAGAGCGATTGTAACAGCAAGGAGAAGAATGAAAACCCTGTTAAAACGAGCGAAAACCCTGTTAGGCCCTTATGAGCAAACAATACTCATTGTCAGAAAATGTGAGAATGTTGCCATCAACTAACAGCATTTACATATCCGAGTAAAAAAATATCATCACAATGACATTCTATCATAACATAGCAGCTGCAAGAGATACTAATTTCCCGACCCCTTCAAATTCTTCAAAATGGGCAATTTTCCTTCCTACGAGAACCATTGATCTATATAATTTCGTGTTTAAAAACCATCTTTCTCAACTCATAATTACATCTCATTGATCATATCATATCATATCAACATCTTAAAGTGCATCATTTCATCTTCTCTATTCAGAAGACTTTCTCTAAGAGAACTGTAAGAATGAGCACAGTGTTGCTCACCAATTAGCGGAATCACTTCTGAAGTTTCTGGCATGTTCTCGGCGATATTGAAACTAAACACCGAATACGCCAAGAGAACTGTTAAGCCGAGAGTCACCTTCTCACCACTCTCGCAAGGTAACATGAATTGCATCATCGTTAGGATCTGAATGGAGCAATTTTTATATTATCCAATCTGCTTCACTTGATGAGAGTGTGATCACATTGCATCATAATGCAGTTGATATTCGATGTTAACACACTGCATGGTCGCATAATAGCAAACTGCATCGAAAATGCATGTAATTGTTCGCATGTCTATGCTAGTTTCTAGTGCTTTATGTGATACTTGTTGATGTAAATGTGTGTTTGTAGGGTGTTGGTCAAGTTGCATTGAATTAAAACTAACGGATAGCATAACACAAGGTGCGATGATATTGTACATGAAGTACAACATCCTTCGTCGTAAATGCAACTCAAAAACGACCGTCGGGAATACTGAATGTCGGCCACGGAGCAGCCTTCTTGTTCGATTCGCCACTATTTCCCATTCGCCGTTCTCAGTGAACGAATCCCTTGTGAACGGATCTTTACCATCGTAGCGTTGCATTATTTGTACGTCCAACTGAGATCGATCATATATCCCTTTACGAATGTTTACTCTTATTTGTACTCACTCACCTATTTCATATATTCATTACACAGTCTCTGAGTGCAACCACCTCAACATCAGTGATACTTACAATCAGCGGCATAGCCAAGTCGGGGAGCACAGGGGACGCGCCTCACAGCTGGAGGCTGAAAGAAAAGGGAAAAAGAAATGAATACAGGGGAAGAAAACGGGCAGAAAGAAGTGGGAAAAGAAAGGAGTGGAGAGAAAGGAGCGAAAAACAGTGAATGCATAAAAATTCATTCCAAAATTCATCCATTCCGACTAGACCGTTTTGTGCTCTCTAACCTCCTTCCCTCCCCCCCCCCTCTCCCTCCTGGAAAAAATCTTGACTAGTTCACTGCTTCAAATGCGTGTGATATTCCCTCCCACATGATCTTTTGAATAAGTGTATATGATATCTTCAATTTTCTAACTGTGAATTAACAGAGTTGTTGACTGCTAAACGGTACAGCACAATGCTATCGATGGAACACTAACAAGATCCAAATTCCAACAAGCAGAATTGGTCATCGAATGGAAAGAATGTCACGTCTAGTTTGCATATTGAATAAACTTTGGCTGGTGGAGCCCATTGCACTGCAAGAAAAGATTTAAGATTGTTGAAGGTATAAAGAAGATGAGATTGCAATTCTGATTTGCAGCTCAAATAGTAACTGCTGAAAATTCGTTGATTACTGCAGTAGCAAGTGAAGATAGTCACATTAATAGGTTCCTTTCTTAAAATTGAGATAATCTTTGACTGGTGGAGCCAGCCCATTGAGACCAGCAATAAGGTACTCCCACTCCGTATGGCTAACGGTGCCTCATCAGTGAGCAATTCATATTAAGGTTTAATTTTTACGCTCATTCAACAATATGAATTCACTTTTCACAGTCGTAAATTCGAAAAAATTTTCTCTATGTTACTTTTCCTAGATGTAAATCCTGAAATAGGACACTCGTGGTTTTATAACCAGAGAACGGATCGATAAGATTATCAAAAAGTGATACTCACTATCACCATTACTGCGTATATGCAAATTTGTATCGACGAAGCCTCGGGAAAAATCATGAGCACTGCAATCAACTGATTGATGAAGAGATCAACGCAATGGTGATAAATATTGAAATAAGATAATATGAACAAATGATGATATCGTTTTGTTTTGAATGTTTTTGATCATTTG